ATGCACAAATGGCCATAATTTGGGGGAATACAATTGTTAAGCTCTATGCAGCGATTTTTTTTTCTCAACCCCTTCCTGCCCCACAAAACTAACAAGCAAACAACAACAACAACAAAAACCTGAGATGTGGAGATCATGACTCAGACCAACAGAGGTTTAAAAAAAAATATTTTGGCCCAGCTCCAATTCATGTTCACTACCATTAACCATGCCTACTTTTCCTTCGCAGAGAAAGAAAAAGTGAGCAATAATCAGGATTAGAAGAACTTGACTTGTTGATTCTCTTTGGCTAGGTATCTTCCACACTAAAGCATCCTGAGACGGGGGATAGGCAGAAGGAGATGGCAAAGGAGGAAGGAATAGGCAATGTGTTCAGAGAAAGAATTATGCAGAAGTTCACCTGCTGTTGTCACGATCAAGACATGGAGAGGTACGGCTGAAACAGAATAGATACTTTAGCACAGAGAAAGAATGGAGAAAGTGAAAATATAAAGAATGAAACCAGAAGTGACTTTTAAACCAAGGTACATAATTCATATACCAACACACTATTCATCAGTAAAAAGATGGAAATACAAATGAGATACAGCTCTATGCAAATGCTGAGAGATGAACAAGGTATATGTGACTTATTTCCAGTTTAGGACGCTGGGGGTTGTAAAATCACTGGAGTAGTAGCCTTATTCAACACTGGCTTATGGTGGCACTTCATAGAATCTGTGTGCACGGAGCTACATAACATCAAGAGATGCAGGGAGTGAAAAATATCAAGTCTTTGATTTGATAGACACAGTTTTGACTCAAAAGCTCTTCATTCAGCCTTCTAATACTTAAAAAAAATGATAATGCCCTTCTTGTGATCACAAAAAAATGCAAACAGAAAAGGCACAATTTAAAGCATAACTTGATGACAAACATCAGAATAGGTAACATCATTATTTTTTTTTCTTTAGGATGTCACTCCTTGCATTGGGAATTGGGCCTGATATCTAAATCCAACTTCTGGTCCTACCTTTCCTTCTTCTACCCATGAGTTTGCTCTTCCTTAAAATCCTCCATAAGTTTTTATATAGTTTACTCATGTTTTCAACATTTAATGAGAGATAAAAATATTCACAAAGCCAGAAGGTAAATGGCTCATGCCTATAATCCTAGCTACTTAGGAGGCTGACATCTGAGGATCCTGGTTCAAAGCTATCCCTAGCAGGAAAGTCTGTGAGACTCTTATCTCCAATTAACCACCAAAAAGCTAGAAATGGGTCTGTGGTTCACATGGTAGAGTGCTAGCCTTTAGCACAGAAAAGCTAAAGGATAGTGTTCAGACCCTAAGTTCAAGCCCAGTACTGCTTTAAAAAAGTATTCATGGTCAACTTACCAGAAATCCAATCTTACTGCATACTTTGCTTTGTTACTTTATAAAGGAAAACTTGGGGAGTCGGGGTGGAAAGTAACAAGTATAAAAACCCAAAAGAATTCGTCTGTGTGTATCTTAAAGAACACCCAATGTTATATGAAATACGTGAACAACCAATTTAACTGATGTAAGTATTTAGGCAAACTTTTAAACTGCCAGGTGAAATAGACTTAACTTACTTGCTGCATGTCAGATATTTCCTTAACTAAGCAAATATCTCCAACCCATTTTTAAAATACTCTATTATTTAGAGTCTGCGGTTCATAGTCAAATTGTCTTCAACATGTTTTGAAAGATCACCATTGTATGGATTTATATTACCATCGTATTTTATAGCACAATGCCATAAGTTGACTTTTAATCGGTGGCACTTGGCTGTCATTAAAACACTATGAAAGTAAAGAAATTTGGAATAACAATATCTAAAATATAAAAAAGAATTACTAAGCTGATCCATTATATATTTATAAAGTGAAGCAGAGTAGAAAATTCAAATTTGCCCTAGCTTAGGTTTATATGATCATGACTTATAGTGCTAGGAAAAGCTGATGATTAGATTCATGGTGATTCAATGTGGCAACTCCATAAAGAAGAAAAAAATGTTACCATCAGTCTTTAGTCAGACTGGCTGTATTTAGTGGACATAGAAGAGTTGAGTCACTTCACTCATTTCTTCTCTTGCCATGAGCTTTAGTCTTTGAAAACATGGAACAGAGGTAAACTAAAATCACCAGTCCTGCTTTCTGGTAGAAGCAGCACCATTTATTAACTTAAGTTAACTTTATTAAGTTTAATAGAACATTATCAATCTATCTGAAAATCGAATTTTATAGTAGTCAAGTTTATCAAAAGTTTATCAATAGTGAAGTTTAACGGAGTCAGTTTTTCCTCTATATTTTGACAGGTTGTGAAGTTGTTCAAGAATGAATTCAATTAATTAAAGAGAAAGCCAGTTCTTAAAAAAGTTACTCTGCAGAAACCTGATACATAATGAATAAAATTACAAGAAATCACTGTTGTCTGACATGATATGAGGAATGCTATTTATATATAGTAAGATTATGTTAATTTCCAAATATTACCACACTTAGGATCTTTGAGGTTTCCACATAATTTCTCATCAGGTTAGAAGCATCTATGGCATTGTGCTTCTGAAATACTATAGGAGAAACGCTAATACATGATGGATTACATAAGTAAAAAGTCAAATATTACAATTACTAATTGAACTAATTGGTTTTGTCATTTTGAGTCTTTGGGGTACATTTTGCTTAACTAATCTGCAACTTGTGAAAATTTTGGAACTTGGGTCTGGGGATTGTATAAACATTTACAGCTATATGCTGTTGAGTATTCATTTTCCTGAGGCAGGTAATGATTATTTAGGAAGTGTTTTATCTATGGGTTTAATGACATAGAACTAATCTTACAGATAAGTAAACTGAACTGCAGAGATGTCACATGACTTGTCCTCAGTGTCACATGTGGAGTATTAGCATCATGATCTAAACTCTGATTAGTCTGACCCTAATACACACTATTAACCATTACATTTCTCTCTGACTAGCCCCTGTATGTCTCATCATAACATTCTGTGTGTGTGTGTGTGTGTGTGTGTGTGTGTGTGTGCTAGGCTTGAACACAGGGTCTGGGGCACTGGCCCTGAGCTTTTTTGTTTTGCTCAAGGCTACTACTGCTTTACCACTGGAGCCACAGCTCCACTTCTGGTTCTTTGGTGGTTAATTGAAGATGAGTCTCTGGGACTTTTCCTGAGTAGCCAGTATGGCAGACATGAACTGAACTGAACTACTAGCAACTGGCCTTGAATCAGAGTTGAATTCTTTATTTTACTCTCAATCCACTGCTTCGGCCTCCTGACTGCTGGAATTATAAGAATCCACCACTGTACTACAATCAAGTTTAAAATAAATTATTCATATTAACATGACTTTTTTTTTTTTTACTATAACATGACTTTTTTTTTTTTTTGTCGGTCATGGGGGTTGAACTCTGGGCCTGAGCACTGTCCCTCAGCTCTTCAGCTCAAGGCAAGCACTCTACCACTTGAGCCACAGCACCACTTCCGGTTTTCTAGTGGTTTATTGGAGATAAGAGTTTCATGGACTTTCCTACCTGGGCTGGCTTTAAACTGTGATCATCAGATCTCAGCCTCCCGAGTAGCTAGGATTACAGGCATGAGCCAACAGTGCCCAGCTATAACATGACTTTTTAAGTTGAGCTAATAATATTTAAATATCTAAAATAACCACTTTAAAGGATGAATATTAATTTTAAATAATTATGGTTTCTAGATTCTTGTCCATTATTCTCCATCTATCTCCAGGCATCTTCTCCTTAATCATCCTTGTAAAGAGTCTTAGTAGCAGAATAAAAGGTTACCATTTTAAAAATAATTTATAACAGAAATATTAATTATCTCATCTTACACATAATATGTAAGTAAGTTTGGATGAGAATTTATTTTTTATTCCCAAGAAAACTACCTTTGTTTATTTAACAGAACATAACATTGTGTTTATTTTTGGTATCTATATAAATAATTTAATACACTATAAACTCCATTTAGTAGATGATTTGACTAACAAATCCAAGATTTTTAACTAAAATATCTTAGAACATTTTCCCAAAAGGAGACTATATTAGGATAATAAAAACAACTGAGGTCCATTATTTAAAATAGTACTTGGGATTATGGCTAAGAAACTGGGATTAATAATTCAAACCAAAATAGCCCATTTTTGTTAGCTAACATGTGGTTAGGGCTATTAAAAAGGAAAATAAATGAAAAATATGGAGATTTTATGTATAATTATGGTATACCATATTATTCAGAGCGATGACAATGTAAGAAAAATAAAGAGAATAATGTCACAATTTAAAACTCTTTAAGGAATTTATATGATACATAATTGAATCCTTATACTGCAACAATATGTTACAAAGCATGATCCAAAGTCCTGATTTTTATTGAGTTAATACAATTTTAACAGGCAATATGGATTTACATACTCTTTAAAGGATACTAAGAAGACAATTGAAAAACTGCCTGGTTGCTTGTAAACTTGCTTTTTAACTTAAATGCCCTCTTTAAACAGTTTAAAGAATTATCTGCATATCTGGATGGTTCAAACTTCTGCCAACTTTATTTTAAATCATTAAAATGAGAGGAAAGGTATTCAGTTCAGAGGGCCATTCAATTAATTTTTGCAAGTAGAAATGTTCTAAGAAGTAGCTGGTTCAGGTCCTCTTTTTTTCCCCCTGATGTGAACAGTCAGGAGGCCCGCCAGTACATTCTGGTTAGTGAGCAAGCTGCTTCTTTGACGCAATTCTACTAGTTACTTTAAAACAATGCCCAGCTTTCTGTGCTGAATGCAACCCTTTCTCACTGTGTCATTTGTGAAGCGACAGTCCACAGATGGGAGAAAGCAAGGTTATTTACAAGTTTGAACAAAGGTCACCTCCACTGCGAAGCTAGCCATCCACTAAAGCTGCTGGACAAAGCAGTTATTTTCACTCCCATCTCCTTTTACCTCTTGATCTGGATACATAATATTGATGTACTCACCCAGAATGAATGGGGCTGGAAGAAAGAGCCACGTTGTCTAAGTTCTCAGTGCCCCAGCTCAGACGATAAGAATTCCTTTCTGCCTCCTTGGCTAGAGTTGACACCTACACACAAAGAACACTGGATTTTATACAAAAAATAAAAAATAAAGGACTCTGCTTCATTTAAAGGAAAATATAATCACATCTGAAAAGTGGCATTACAAGAAGGAGGGGTTGCCTGGGAAAACTTTTATTGTTTTAGAAAATCGCAAAACCAACTTTATCATGTTTATTTTCTGTTCAATTATATGAGAGCTCGGAGATCTCTTTAGTATAATCTTCGAAGAAAGTTGTTGCTCATCTATGTTCCTATATCCAGCCCTGTAAAATTAATAAGATTCCCACCTGAAATTAAATTATTTCAGAATAAACTGAGCGTTGTTCTTATAGCTGATATTTTTAAACATTGAAAGATATATTTTTTATTTTTATTAGCATTCAGGGAAGGAGGGTTTATTGGGACATTTCCATAGATGTGCACACTATAATCTAAACAGCCGTCTACCACTCTCTTAACCCTGCTCCCCTTCTTAAAACAATTTCAACAGGTTTCACACATGCAAATAAGTGACTTCAAATGTTTTCATTCTCTACCCCCCTCCTTCTCTATGGCCCCTCCCCCATGGAAGCCTATGTTATACTGAAAGATATATTCTTTGCTGTCACATTTCTATGACAAAGGCATTTTACCTAACTTTCCCCCCTAATTACAGAATTTATTTTTTGTTAATCAAACCCACACAAACCCTTACATAAACTACTTCCCGAACAATGCATTTACAGCTAAAGAAATAAGCAGTATACCTTTTCTGGAGAAAAACAAAACAAGCACAAATGTGCTTATTGCAAACTCTCTACTCCTAGCCAAATCCTCAAGATGGTTTAGTAGAAAAGTTGGAAAGCAAAGACAGGACTGTCGAGGGCCACATACCTGGTGACTGGGGATCACCACCGTGTCTTCGATCATGGCACTGTCCCTTAGGTAGGATGCGTGGCTGAGAGTGTGAGACCTGTCGGAACTGAAGGATCGAAGGCTGGTAGGTTTGCAGAAGGTCATGGCCACATACCCACAGCAGTAGAAGGGTTGGGAGATGAAATGATGAGCCGGCCAGGAGAGTGGAGAAAGCGTGCTATTAGCTAAACAGTGCAACTTCCAGGGGAACACGGATCTCAGCGGTTGTCCTACCTCTCGGTCCCACAGCGAGACTGACCCATCCTCTGACTGGTTCCTGCTACTCAGGGGCAGGGCCACCAGGGAATCCAGAAGTTAAAACTGGATACTTCCTAATCTGATTGCTTTTATTTTTTTTTCTTCTCAGAGATGTTTGAAACCAACCTCTGCAGTTTACTTACTTGCCAGGGCAAGAAAGAATTCCAAGACAGCTTTGATTCAAACTGGGTGAAATGCTCATCACTCTGCCACTAAGAAAACGTATCAGAGGGACAGCCCTCAGAGAGAACAAAAGCCAAGTGCAGGTTTTGCTTTCCCTCGTGATATTCCAGGCTCTTACCAGGTCTTTCCCTTCCTGTCTAAGCTGTGAATGACTGGAGGTTAATAAACTCCCCTGGAAGGTACAGCGTGCAATGGATTGTGGCCAGATGCATGCTTCCTGGGGAAGTGGAGTTCCTCTCATTTGTCTCTGCTGACTTCAACTGTGTGATTCTTTGAAAGGAGAGCCCTGTCTCCTCTGCTTGTCCTGTGTGTGTGTGGTGAGGGAAGCATCAAAGAGTGTTGGTTGCCACAGAGACGAGAGGCAAGAGCACAAGGAATTTCTTAAGCATCAGCCCAGAATGCAGACGCACTTGCCAGCACACAGACAAGCTGCCAATGGACACTGACCAAAGCTGCACTGTGGCTCCAAAACAGCATTCAGGCATCAAGGCTTTACAATGGTTACTTTTTTTTTTAATAAATAGGAATTTCCAAGTTCTAAGTGACAAAATCAAATGTGTCAGGCAAAACCTGACATTTACATGAATACAACCTCATTATTTTGTTTATTTAATTTTTATAGAGACAAGGTCTTGCTATATAACCCAGGCTACCTTCAAACTCACTATGCTAGCCCAGGTTGTAGCTCACAGTCTTTCTGTCTCTGGCCTCCAAGTGATAAGATTACAGGTGTGCATAACCATACCTAGTAATGACAAGTAGACTGATATTTTAAATCATATATATATATATATGTATATATATATATATGATCCACACATTAGAAATGTGCTTTCAGAATATCAACCCAAGAGGGTGGGAAAAAGAGATATGCAAGTTTTCATAGAAGCAAAACTTTCATTTACTTTTAGCTGGTAGGTATTTGGTCAGTGAAGCACTGTAGAATTTTGGATGAGATGGTAAACTGGCCTGTTTTCTGGTAGAAACGATTTCCATTTTGTAAATATATCTAACTTTGTAGGCCACATTCCTATCATCTCCATGAAGGGTCAGAACCAACTTTCAATTTTCATGGAGGCTGTCCTGAATCATTTTTACTCAAGACTAGTTCTCTACCACTTGAGCCATACCTCCACTTCTGGCTTTTTGGTGGTTAATTGAAAATAAGACTCTCAGAGACTTTCCTACCTGGGCTGGCTTTGAACCTGGAGCCTCACCCCTCCTTACTAGCTAGGGTTACAGACACGAGCCAGTGGAGCCAAGCTTGGTATGTTTTGAATGAGGCCATGTTACATCATCACCTCCAATTCTATTCTTCATTTTGTTGGTTGGTCAAGAAAAGGAAAAGAATGAAGAAGGCCCACCTCTTGAAGTAATATAGCTTGTTTGTGGGGTCAATTGTCTTCGGATCTGTTAACAATTTAATCTTGCTCCATGATTTTAGAATGCAAATATCTAAAGTATAACTTTACACATTTAAAGGTGCCAGGGATAAAAGATCTACAGTACAAATAGGGCAAGAGGGGGAAAATTGCATTACGACACATAACCCCAAATTCCCACTCTTAATAGAAAGTGAAGCCTTTATCACTAGGTGACACTGATACTAGTCTGAGAGGGCAAGTGAAAAGTGAACATGAACAAGAACACAATGAGTGGTAAAGGAAGGTATCCCAAATTAAAAAAAAAATCCTAATGTGGCTCCCAGTATTGCAAATGTCTAAACCTTGAAAGAAAGTCACCAGGCCTGAACTGTCATCCTCCAAGACTAATAGTGAGTGGGTGAACAACTATGTTGCTCTCAGGAATATGGGTTGACAGACCCCACTGGGTTGTAATGGAAAGCTCCATTCTGCAGCAAGGATCAGTAATAAAGACTGACTTTATCGATATCTATGTGATGCCTGACCTGAGTATCCCCGTTGATGCTTGAGTGTCTTAATTGGTTTTAACTGGATGCGTAAAGACATCCTGGTTGTACACTTTTATCTTTCTAAAGAAGCCCAAAAGCCTAAAACACAGAGTGGGAGATTAAAGAAAAGGAAGAAACAAAAAGCATTCAATCACCTTGATTAAGGTAAAGAAGGATGCTGGGAACTGTGTGATCCTAGCTATTCAGGGGACTGAGAGCTGAGGATCATAGTTCAAAGCCCAACCCTGTTAGGAAAGTCCATGAGAATCTCATTCCCATTTTGGTTCTATTTTTGGCTAAAAACAAGCCAGTAAGGGAAATGTGGCTCAAATAGTAGAGTGCTTTGAGCAAAAAAGCCAAAAGACAGCATCTAGCCCCTCAGTTCAAGCCCCAGTGCTGGCACAAAAATAAAGAGAGGAGAAGGAAAATTATGAGGACATTTAGACAGAGAGAAAGGTGAGGAGATCTGAAGGAAAATGAGTAAGTTGAAATCTATACCTATACCTAGCTATAAATCTATACCTATCAATTTTTATTCTAGCTCATTTTATTTACTTCCTTCTGGAAATGCTAATTGGTTATATAAAAATGTTTATAGTTTCTAATTGCTCTTTTTGATTTGTTTTTGCAGAATCTAAGATGTAATAAACATGGTTTGAACATTCTTGCAACAGAGAAATCATTTTTCTATGAAGAAATAATACCAGCACAAATTTCTGAAATGATTCAAGATTATGGGTCAGAAATGTCTTATTATGGACTCAATTTATATTTTTTCCCACTAACGTACAATTGCCTTATGGACTTAAAGACTTCACTGAAAAGTAAATGTGATATTTATTAGACTGAAATCATGGATGTCTAGACCCTACTCAATAAGCAAACATCAAAAGATGTCAGTATGTCTGCTTTAATGTATGAAGAAGCTTCTGTGGTCTGTTGTTATTTAGGCTTTACAGTGAATTTTCCACAGCATTTTAAATTTGAGAATGGTAATGCAACAGACGTAAAATCCTAGCAATCATACTTTGTTGTATGTTTATTCAATGTGACCTCATCTGAGCATGTTTTTGTTCTGAATTTATGCACTTTTTAGGCGCCAACATCTGTCCCCCATCAGCACTGAGGCTGTTCAGGTTCTTTGCATAGAAGCCATGCATGTGCCTGATCCACCACTAGGTGGGGCTATGGCAACCAAAATAAAGTCACACCTGGGCAGTGTACAGAACTGACTTGGGGTCTAATAACAGAGACATCGCTTCTAACCCAGCCGGTTATTGAACTGAGTACAAAAAATTCAAATTTAATAATAAATCCATAATTCTAGAATATGAGCGCCTTCGATCAGCACACACACACACACACACACACACACACACACACACACACGCGTGCGCGCGCGCTAAGCAGTGAGCAGGGAAATGTGAACACATCCAGGAAGTTCATGTTTTCATGCTGTAAAATACCTACCTGGGCATGGTACTATTGGGAGCATACCAAATTAAAAGAAAAATAATAATGGAAAAGATGATTACCAGAAAAGATGAAGTGCCTAAGCAAACAAAAAATTTGTTTAAGTAAAACAAACAAAAAATGTGAGAATGAGACACTGGATTCCCTCTTGGATACAGTGACCTAGATATGCATGGGCAAACCTGGAGAGCACCCTGTGCTTCATGGCCCCTGACTACATGCTAGTACATTTCTGTTGAGTATAGATATCAAAGCACCTGCCTCTGTTTTATAAGAAATATACTTTAAATTATTTTTAAACTTAGGCACTTAGGAAAGAAGGGAAAAGGACCCAGCCATGCACTTGTTCTTCATAATAAAAATCATACTGAAAATAAAAGTTCTTGGCCTGAGAGTCATAATTGTTCATAGATGATTGGGGGTTTGTGTGAAGCCATTCATACTCCCTTCTACTGAACTTTGAAATACTTTAAGAATCTTAGGCTGGGCAGTGGTAACTCACACCTGCAATCCTAGCTCCTTGGGAGGCTGAGATCTGAGGATTGCAATTCAAAATCAGCAAATGCAGGAAAGTCTGTGAGACTCTTATCTCCAATAAACAATGAAGAAACCAGAAAGAGTATTGTGGACCAAAGTGGTAGAATGCCACCCTTGAGAGAAAGAGCTCAGGGACAGTGTGCAGGCCTTGGTTCGAGCCCCATGACCAACAAAAAAGAATCTCATGTCTCTAAGATACAAATCTTTCAATAAATCAGGACTCAACATAGAAAGCAGCAGCCCTGTCATCCCTTTCTCCTTTTGCCTTCTGATCCTTTAAGCCACCAAACCCACACCATCTGCTTGGCCTTCTTCTTCAGCTACCATGCAAAATCCATCACCAAATCTGACCTTCTCAAATTTTTCACTGCTGAAATTCTCTCTACTCTCAACAGTGGTAGACTTTCTACCCTCTCATGATGACCCAGATAATACCCCTATAGTAGCTTCTCAGATGATGGCCATAGATTATTCTCAACTTTTAACAGTCTTTCCCTAAAGTACATTCTCTATCTCTTGTCACTATCAGAGGATTGCTCTAAAATGCCAGTATGATTTCCCTCTTTTCTCATTATTCTGTTGCTCAAATGTTTTAGGAACATTTGTTTTTGACCCTGTTAAACCTTTAAATAACCTTCCTATTTTTTTCTGTCCATCCTCATTCATCAATTGGTCTTGATTTGGACTCCTCGCTGCAACTCTAGGGGCTTAGTGTGTTCCATTAGTTCAAACCTCTCTTCCCTGTGTTGAGCCTGAACTTAGCAAGCATAATTTAGTTGTAATGGTACCTCCAATATTTAACACAAAGCCTAGCACTAACATGTACCCATCACATCCACATTAGACTTTTTAAAAAAGAGAAAAGAGGGGGTATGGGAGATAACATGGATGCTCAGGAGCTTCTGTTTCCTAATTACACATAGAAACTTGGTTACTGCCTAAGGGGTTCATTTCATAAACTGCTCATATGTGGACTATTCATAAAATAGCTTACAAAAGAGCCAAATTCATAACCTTAGACATGAAAGAGTATTGATGAGAAAAAAATATTACACTCCACAGACAAGCACATACTTGACCTAAGTTAGCAGTCATATTTGTCATGAGCTCATCTAGGATGCTCTTATTCTACTTGTCTCCGAGAGAAACAAGCACCAGACACAGCCACTGTATAACAATTACACACCTCAGAATATTATACGAGTCTCTCAGAGTTTACGACTCAAGTGGAGCGCAACCCGGTTTTGCTCAAATTGCTCCTGCTTATAAATTGTAATGCATCAATTATTTATGCTAATTTCTCTATGTCATTTTTCAATTTTCTTTGAGTAGTTGTACAAAGGAGTCACATTGCTTCTTGTATCTACACTTTCACAGATTTCTGTTCTTTGTCCTTTTAAGTGGAAAAAAAAGCCCATTTTAACCACAGTTTTCTTTTAACTTTGTTTCCTCTTATTCTCCATAACAAAAATTATCATGGAAAGTAGGCACCAATAAAAGAGGGGTGTGTCACTGGGTAACAGAATCCTTAAGACAAAACTTCCCCTGCCATCTGACTAGAGGACAACCTGAAGTCCCCAATAATTGTATCCACTTGTTTGTCATCAGACAAATGCATCACCCACACACACTTCCAGCTAGCTTCACGTGTAAGGTTTGATGGATACCTGTCAGATCGCCCCCCCTCCAAGCTGTAGCGCAGGTAATTCATGCCGTCCAGGAACTGACTGCTGGGCAGGGAGTCGTCACCTAGTTCTTTGAGATCTTCAGGCCTCAGGTATTCCCCCCCATCCCCGGTCATTGTGTCATCACCTTGGGACAAGAGGAAGACGGAGGAAGTTATTTGCTGACGATAGCATCCACTACACAATATGTAATGACTACCTGTACATCGGTGAAACTGACATGAGGAACGTGAAATTGAACATGAGCACAGCACACAGGCAGGTACTTGCAAAGACGCTAACACACAATAAAGCTCCATTATAGAGCTCTTAACCAAGAAACCCAAGTCAAGACAGCTTACATTCTCCCCCTCACTCCCTCTGTCTTTTCCTTGCTCTACTACTCCATCGAAGAGACAACATTTGATTTTGTTTTCCTACGATGCATCCACAAGAACAAACTAAAAAGTGATGGAGAATGTCCATATTCTCTGACACAGAAACAGCATGGGAATTAAATAAGCCAATATAGCTAACATTCGATATTTAACCAACATTTTCTCTTCCCATAGTTATCTGCTTCCTCCCCATTTCTTCCCAATGTTCACTTGTGTACCAAACACAGATGGAAATATTCCACCATGCTTGGCTTCTAATTTAATAGAGCTGTATTTAAGAGGATGATAGTAACTACACTGTGTTCTCAAGGACTCTTAGTTTACATCTTATCTAAAAACTGATAACTTAGTTATTGACAACTTTATGCTAGCAAAGTATTACCTTTCTCTACAATTATATTCTAAGAAAAAAATGTTACTCTGGAACAATATTTATGCCATGAGCTAATTGTGTGAAGAAATCTCAATAATAGTTGCTAAAATTATCATGAGTATAAACAATCCATGACCCCAAACTTACAGGCTAATAAAATCCACACCTCAAATGCAATCTTAAACAATTCCAAATGTATTAGACATGCTATTTCAAGAGAAATATTAGTATTGTACACAAAAGTTTAAGTGTTAAGCAAGCTGCTTCTACCACTAACAAAAAATATTAAAAACAAAGGAAAAGGTTTCACTCCAATAAGTTCCTTAAGTACCTGAGTCACTAAGTGCTTCCCCATCAATAAAGTGGTCCCCACACTGTTTAATGGCTGTTCAATATAGAAGTGAAGATGAGAAAGACAATATATGACATGCATATATTGCACAAGACAATATATGATATGCATACAGAGATGCTGAACATTTTGGCCAGTACAAGAATGAAACACAAGATTATAATAAAAACTTGGACTGCTGGCTTTGTTGATACAATTAAACATACTCATAATGATACACTGATCCAACATTTCCTCATTCTTGTAAAAAGTTCTTATATAAGCTGAGATAAGGCAATGTCTATTACCAATAAGTCACAAATTAGTTCCAAATAAAGACATTTCAATATAAAGCGTTGCCTTATGATTTCACGTGGAAAGATAGTTCAAAAAAAACATTACATTCAATATTTTCCAGTAGAAGAAATCAACATTAGGGCTTCAGCCATCTTTGGGGGCAATAATTGATCAAATATGCATGTTTTCATCTATACACACATGCCAATAATTTTTCAGTCATACACATTTGACTAATAGCTGCACCACTGAAGCTTATTTGACTATTTTAAATACTCCTTTTTATGTTTTCTAACTATAAGGCACTGAATAGCTTATTTATGCTGAATTTGTACTATTTGTTGTTGTACTGTTTTTAAGTCTTTTCTAAGGCTCACTTCTTCTGAATTTAGTACAGACTCCCTCTAGACTTAATGCATATGCTTTCTGTATTTACTACATATTTTCTCTGGATTTAATACAGACTCTGTGCATCTGCACTGATCAAAAGGAAGAGATTTCCTAATATAAGGAATACACTAAGGTCTTTAAGGCATTTGAATAAAAACCTTTTGAACATAATTAAAAATATATATTAATAATGATTCTAGTATTAGGTACCTATTTCCAGTTTCAAGTCCAGTGTCAAATTTCTTTCCCTTAGTCACATTGTTTATTAAATATTAAAGATAATATTAGGAGAAAATAAGCTGATCAGAATCTACCTCCTCTCCACCCCAGCACACATGTAATGGAAATATTGAGACAAAAGTGGAGAAGGGATTTAAAATGTGAAGGTATTGTCATCTCCTGCATCAATCTGGTTTCCAGAGGAAAGGAAGTTTTGCCCCTGAGATGACAGATGGCACGAAAGATTGAATGGATATCTTACCCTCTTCATCAGACACATCCAGGACCTCAGTCATTGTCTCAGGAACATTGAGCTTGTGTTTTTCAGTTATAGTCTGCAAAGACAAATGCCATTAATGCTGCATTTAAAAGCAAGCCAAAAACAAGCTGGAAAGACTTCAGAGATGGTTCTATTCTTGAGTAGCAGCAATAAGCCACCCAGCCCTGAGTATATCCTATCTCATCCATACATAGAATCTGGAAACATGCTCTGTTCTATGCATATCCAGTTGTTCTGTCTGACGACAAATGATCGTGGACACTAGTGAAGCTGTATGAGAGAAGACTGGTTGCTTTGAGTTTCCACATGAAAAATAAATTCCTTTGCTAATAATGCCATTAATAGTCACATTGAAAGTGCTGATTGGTGTTTTCAAGCCTTCCATAAAACGAACCAACTGATGATTCCAGAAAAGCCTTGCCAAGAGGCAATGAACAAAGGTAACTGATTAAAAGAAAAAACTATTGGGAAAGAACCTATAAATAATCAGAGCCACTGAAAATGTGACATACCTCATCTGGATTAGAGGTCTCACTGTATTTCATTGGGTTACAATTCTACTGTGCTGCTTATTTGCTTCCTAATGGCTCAATGCACTGCAGCTCATTCCTGATGTATTGTATAAGCTGAAGACGCCAGGGCCTGCAGTCTGTCTGCCTAAGTTCAAGTTCTAATTCCATCATTTGTTAGCTACAAGGCCTGCAAGTCTGCAGCCCTTGTTGGGCTTCAATGTTCATATTTATAACACAAGGATTTTGGTAATACCTCATAATATTATGAAGGCTGCATGATGTAATAGTTGCCAGAGCTCTAAGAAAGATATTTGGCAACTGTTGGTATTCAAGAAACAGTTGACATAATTTTATCATTATTATAAGCAAAAATGAAATTAATCTTAAAAGCGCCTCTGAACTTTTTAGCTCTTATACTTATGAAATATTGTGAGTACTGCCAACATGCTATTCTCCAAAGACATCATAGTGTGTGTGTGTGTGTGTGTGTGTGTGTGTGTGTGTGTGTGTGTGTTTAGGCCAGCACCAAAAGACAAATACCACATGACCATATGACCTCAAGAATACTCTGAAACTAACTCTGAAAGTTCAACTCATTGAAGCAGAGAACAGATGGGACCCAAGAGGCTAAGTGGACTGGGGAGATGTTTAAGAGATACAAAATTTCAGATAGCCGGGAACCAGCTCAAAGGATGTGTACTGTTCAATGCAGTGACTATCACAAAAGTGACAACACATTGTGTAGGGACTCTAAAGACCCAGGGAAACTATGTCTGGATGCAGGAAGTATGAGTTGATGATGTGCATGGAAAACTTTGGGTGTGCGTTTGCTTTGTCCTATTTGGGAGCCAAAAGCTTCAAGGGCACAGGATTCTGAATGCTTAACATTGTGCAGCGATCTTGGCCAAAGACAGAATCACTGACCATTACTTTGTGTGTTTGATCTCTAACTACATCCTGATAGCCCCTTATCTACCTCTTGGAATGTGTCCTTTGTCCTATGACCACAAACTGCCCAAACTAGAAAGGGAGGTTTCACCTTTCAGTTCATACTGCCCCTGTGTTGGATGACTCGTGTTACTGACAGGCTAATCATATTCTCTAAAGTCTCAGGTTTTCTCACATATTCTTTCCCCTACCAGAAACCTTTATTTCCCTCTTTTCTTATATCATTAGGCAGTGATATCCTTGGATAAACAATTTCTGACCTTCTCTAGTAAATTACTTCTTCAACTCTATTTGTCTACTATGATCTTGTTAGGACATTATACAAACCAAGTCACATGCACTGAGTGTGTCTGATTTATTTATCGCTTCCCACATAAGAGCATGAGCTATTTTAGAGTAAGATTCCTTCCACAAACCTAAAACAGTAGGCAACTCTCAGATCTAGACTAAGAAATTGATGATGTGAAACTATGCATAAGTACATTTAAAATTTTACAAAACATCCAGAGGCTGGTGGCTCATGGCTGGTAATCCTGGCTTCTCAGGAAGCTGAGATCAGAAAATCGAGATTCAAAGCCAGTCCAGTCAGGAAAGTCTGTGAGGCTCTTATCTCTAATACCAAAAAAGCCAGAAATGGAACTGTGTTTTAAGTGGTAGAGTGATACCCGTGGGTAAATAGCTCAAGGACAGCAACTGGTCCCTGAATTCAGGCCCTGGAATTAAAGGACTGGAAAAAAATTACAAAATGACTAAATTTTTGTTCTTTTGAAGAGAATCTTAGTTGAAAGACTAGAAAGAAACAAAGAAAGATTTATGATATGCAGATGAAGGCACACTTGAGACCTAGGGTAATAAATTCAGCTTGCCTAAATATTTCTTGTGATGTTTAAACAATCTCACAGAGTCTGCTTCAAGACGGAAAACTAGAAGTGACATTGTGGCTCAGAGTGGTAGAGCACTAGCCTTGAATGAAAGAGCTCAGGCCCTGAGTTCAAGCCTTATGACTGACAAAGAAAAAAAAGGAAAGAAAGAGAGAGAGAGAAAAGAAAGAAAGAAAAATAAAAGTTGCAGAAAAGACAAAAGTAAGCAGTTAAAACGTTAGAGAAGAATAAGAGGTACATACATATTTGTTGAATGAACGAACTTAACAAATTACTATAATAATCTATCTGGTTACAATAAAAGTAAGTCACCCAAAATAAGAACTATTTAATTAGTTGTGAGTTGAGATAATTTTAGCAGATTTAGAAAATATATGTAAGAAGTTTACAGAAGTTCTAAGCTCAGGACAAGGACTCTAAGAAAATGTGCAGGATAAATCAGGCCTGGTGGCTCAAGTCTTTAATTTTAGCTCATTTGGAAGAGGTGTTTGGGAAAGCATTAGAATTCATGAGAGTCCATCTCAAGCAATGGCTTGTGTGGCAGCACACACCTGTTCGCTCACCCAAGGGGGAAGCACAATGGCTAGGTACAGTGGTGCATGCCTGTCACCCCCAGAGATGCAAAACAAGTAAAAACAAGCAAACAAAAGAAAAACAGTCAAAACTCAGCTTAAAAATCTACTCTGTTTCTTTGGAGAGGGGTAGTACTTGGATTTAAACTCAGGACTTAGACCATGGTTCTGTTAGCTTTAGTTATTTTTCCCGATAGGATCTCACATTTCTAGCTAAAGGTTAATTACTTAGCTTACCATTTTCCTACCTATGCTTTACTTGTACTTGACTGATTTATCACCATGCCCACTCAGCTTGTTGGCTGAGATGGGGTCTTGTTAAATTTTTGTCAGAGCTAGCTTGGACCTTGATCCTCACAATCTCTACTTTCTGAGTAACTAGAACCCCAGATGTGAGCCATAGCAACTCAATTGATTGGTAATAAATTTCCTTAATATTTAAATAACCATATATGTTCATATATGATTATATATAATAATCATACTGTAAATAATATTGCATATATTATATATAATATTGTATATAAAATGATTATTATATATCATATTATGTATAATAACATCATTATATATAATCATATATATGAATATATATACAGATAAGCAACCATATATAAATAAGCATATTCATAAGCGTATACATGTGTGTGATTGTTGATACTGATTCTTATTTTAGTAGTTAGTTAAGTAGTTTATACTCTACTTACCAGTGATTATATGCAACATAAAATATGATGAGTTTAAAATTTTATAGATAAGGTAAATAATTGATGCTGGCTGATGGACAAGTGGAGGGATGAGTCATATCTCATAGTTTTTCCAATCAACCTTAGTTGATTGAGTTTGCTGACTGCTGCTGCCAGAAATGTGTCCCCTTTACTCTGAGTCCTTCTGGCAAATATGTAGTGATTGTATCCATGGGAGAATAGAAAATTGTCTCATCTTCCCCACTGTGCATTTCAAAGTAAAATTAGAAAAGCAAAGGTTAAGGAAAAACAAATCATGATTCCAAAATGTCTCAGAAATTTCTGCAGCAGCAATGTTTCCTTTATGCACTGCTGCCTTTCTGTGCTCTCTTACAATGACTTTATTCATGCTTTGGGGTAAAGAAGTCTGGAAGGAAGGAAAATTTCTTTGATCAAAGAAAATGCACATGACTACTCAAATAACCCTGCTATGAATCCAAGTGATGGAAAACTGTCATTGTGTAACAGCTATAATTCATCAACCACAATTGGAATGGTAAAACCATCTGATTTGATTTGATCTTTCAGAAGCATCTCCTGTCATTGCTTAATAGTTGTAAATTATTTGCTGATGAATCCACAGACTTTAGGAAATGTTATTGATTTGTGATATGACATTCCCACCAAAATCAATGAAGGGTGCTGTTTTGTGGGTATTTTTTTTGAAAATTGAGTAGAAATACTTCTTGCACAAAATTCTTATGAAGTTACTTTTTCAGCAAACCCAAGTTTGGTTATGTGGGAATAGATAGAACATGGGTTTTGGGTCCTACAACTCAAATCTGAATCTTATAATTGCTCTCCATGAGTGTGTTCTAGCTTTTACACTTAAGGCTGGCACTCTACCATTTGAGCCAAGTCTCCACTTCTGGCTTTTAAAAGTACCATGCGCTAAACAATTGCGCTACTGGAGCTCCCACTTCTGGCTTTTAATTGGAGATAAGAGTCCCATGGATCTTTCTGCTTCACTGGTTTTGATCATGATCTTCAGATCTCAGCCTCCTGAGTAACTATAAGCATAAGCCACTGGCACCCAGCCATGTGCTGTATTTGTAATTCTGAATATTAATGGTTATAATTAATGTTAATTGTAATGGGGAAAGAATGACTGGAAACCTCTCCTTTCCCTCCCCCCACAAAAAAAAAACGAACATAATGTAAGACGACTTCACTAAAGAATAACTTTAAATATCAAGTTTTAGCTCCAAATTCCACATTGCAAAATAGTTACTCATAATTCCATGAGAAATCAGTTCAGAGAAATGGAGAGTAAAGAAAATACAGCACCAAAAGATATAACCAGTAACAGTATCCATTCAGATAAAGTATTTGCTTAGCTAATGTGGATGATGACTGTTGTTTTAGCAGAATGCAGAAATACTGCAAGGGTTTATATTTGGTTTAATAGCTTTTTACCTAGCAACTTGAATTCTGAGAATAGCGTTTTTTGTTATTGTTGTTTTGTTTTGTTTTTGCCTTTTGGGAATGAGGAATAATGCTTAGAAAGCAAGTATGAAAAATAATAGCTATGTGGGAGCAACTATAAAAGCCACAACTCAGAGTATTCAAAGAGAAATTGTGATTTCCCCTTTAGCTAAATGTTCTGGAGATGTGACCTCTCCACACATATCAGGTGTGCTCAATTTCCAACACAGTATCTGAGGTCTGGCTTAGAGGTGGCTATTAGAATATGTTCTGGGCAATGGACACTGACGGCTCATGTCTGTAATCCTAACTACTCAAAACTGAGATATGAGGATCCAGGTTCAAAACCAGTCCAGGCAATGAGAAACTTGTCTCTAATTAACCAGCAGAAAAGCTGGAAGTGGCACTGTGGCTCAAGTGAAGAAGTACCAGTCTTGAGAGAAAAAAATAAAACAACTAATGGACAGTGCCCAGGCCCTGAGTTCAAACCCTAGTAAAACTCACCCCTTCACACATACACATGTGAGTATTATGTGTGTGTGTGTGTGTGTGTGTGTGTGTGAGAGAGAGAGAGAGAGAGAGATGAAAAAGTATTTATTTACTCCAGATCTTTATGTTTAAGGTCATTTTCTCTAAATAATAGCTATAAACCACACATGTCGTTCTATGGTGTTGCTGATCTTAGTTAAAATTTATGTTGGGTGGAGCAAAACTGTGAAGCTACTTGTAGGAAAGGGCATACTGTATCAGTGCACTGGTGGCTCTTTAGCATGCAGCATCTATTTTGATCTCCAATAAATAATAAAAGAATGAATCAGATGATAAAATGAATGAAAGCAGGTTCAAGATAGCAAGAGAGGTACAGTTGACATCTAGCAGTAAATTAATGACAAGATGCACACTTGATTGCAAGAGCATGGAAAAAGTCATAAAGCTGATAACAACAAATGACTTCCTCAGGAGGCTGAGAACTGAGGATCATGGTTCAAAGCCAACCCCAGGCAGGAAAGTTCAAGAGACTCTTAACGCCAATGAACCACCAAAAACACCAAGACAAAATAAAACAATAACAATGAAAGCCAGAAGTGGAGCTGTGGCTCAAGTGGTAGAGCACTAGCCTTGAGCAAAAATGATCAGGGTAGCCAGGCACCAGAAGCTCATGTCTCTAACACTGGCTACTCAGTAGGCTGAGATCTGAGGATCACAGTTTGAAGCCAGCTCCGGCAGAAAAGTTCATGAGAATCTTATCTCAAATAAACTACTTAGAAAAAGCTAGAAGTGGCGCTGTGGCTGAAGTGGTATAGTGTTTGACTTGAGCACAGAGGCTCAGGAACAGCGCACAGGCCAAGCCTCAGGACAAGAAAGAAAGAAAGAAAGAAAGAAAGAAAGAAAGAAAGAAAGAAAGAAAGAAAGAAAGAAAGAAAGAAAGAAAGAAAGAA